GCGCGCGCGCCCAAGCCGGGCCGGAGCCGCGGCGCGTGCGCGCGCTCACCTGCGGCCGCGGAGCAGCTCTGGAGCTCGCACCCCACCCACGCCCAATAGGACTCGCGCACCTGCGCCCGCGGCGCCAACCAATTAGCACACATATCGTACGGCGCATGGGCGGGCCTCGCTGCCCGAAAACTCCTCCCCTGCCCCGTGATTGGTCCTTCCCTGCGAGGGAGGGGCGGGATCACCTGAATTTGTGGAGGGCTCACCGAATGGAACAGGCGAGCAACATAGCGCATGCGCACACTGTCGAGTTTCCGCCCCGGGAAGGCCTTCGGGGGAAGGATGGCCGGAAGCGCGAGCGCACCGGGACAGCCGCTTCGGAGGGTGTGCCTTGTGCACATGCGCGGGCGCGCGCCTGGTAGTAGAGCTGCGTCCTGAGCGCTTGTAGCTTAGGGAACGGGTCACACGTCGCGTCCTGGGATGGGACGCTCGTGGGGGTGTGTGGCCCGGGCCGCTGCGCTCCCCCGCGACCCTCCTAGGCCACTGCCTCGGTGCTGCGGGGTGCAGGGGCCCACTGCAACTCTTGTTTACAGGATTCAGGTTTTCCCGCCTCAGCAGCAGTCGCTAGGGGAGAACCCTGGGTGCTCTCGTTCTGGTTTCATGCAAGGAGACTGCGCCTTTCTCTTAGTCTTCGCTGCCCCGAGGGTCCCTTGGTCACCAGGAGGGGCCCAGAGGGCCGCGGCCTGCGATGCTCCACGCAGGTCCTGGCTTCCTGTTCCTGCAGGCCTCTGCATCCACCCTCAAGGGGCTGAAGTCTTCTCTTCCCCGGAGCCATTTTTTCGCTGTTTGGTGTTTCTCAGGACTGTTGTGTTTTCCCCAGTGACGAAGCTGTGTCCCGGGGTAACACAACACCAAATCCTTCTCTCTGAGCGCCCCACACCGGGCTCCTGCATTGTCCTGTTTTGTTTCCCATTAGCAGTGATTAGGGGAGAGAGACGAAGAGACCCACAGGGTTTCCCACCCAGGAAGGGCTCTACCGTGGGCCTCAAGGTAGAAACCTGGGACCAGGGCTGGCGGCGGAAGAGTTGGTTAGAGGGTTTCACCGCTGCCTACTGTCACCTCCGGCCCTTTGCCGAACCTCCTAATACCTGTGCCTCCCCTTCCCAACTGTTATGAGACCGTTTTCCCTTGTGCCTGTGAGTTTTGAGCAGTCCTCCACAGAGAACGAAAGCTTCCGAGAGGCAGGAACGCCCCTGCCTTGCTCACACGGAGCGTGGAGCACAGAGTTGGCTCCTGGCCTGCTCACAAGTATGTTTGGGCATAGAATTGCTGAGATACAAGAGCTCAGTGTAGCTCACACCTTCTAAAGGCCATCTTTCCGCTGGACGAATCAGTTTACCAGAGGTTTGTAGATGGAGAGTGGAAGTGGGTGAGGGAGAGACCTGTATAGCCCAAGCTGAATCACAAGGCAGCCTTCCCCCTCACCCCCCAGTTAGAAAGCATCTATATGATTAGAATTCTGCTGGAAATAATATTGTGAGTTGTGATAGGACAGCATCGGGCCTGGAATTCTTTTAATTTTAATTTTTTTAATTTTATGCGTATGAGTGTATTGCCTGCCTGTGTATAAGTGTACCCGTGTCCTGCAGTGCCGGGAGAGGTTAGAAGAAGGCGTCAGGGATGTCAGGGATGGTTGTTAGCCACCACGTGGGTGCTGGGAATTGTACCTGGGTCCTCTGCAAGGGCAGTCAGTGCTCTTAACCTTTGAGCCTTCTCTCCAGCCCCCCTGGGCCTGGAAATTATAACTGCATTAGTACCGGAGTTCTCTGGTATTTATTGAGAAACCCTTTAGCCTCACTAAAAATGGGGGTAGACCTCAAAGTGTTTTATTTGTGTTCTGTCAATATTTATTATATTAGAATTAAAACTTGAGAGTTTAAAACATTATACAGTCTACATTCCAAGTAGTCATCTCCTGTCTTGTCGCTTCTGGAAAACTCCATTGATTGTTCATGATACAGGAGGGTGAGAAGTGACACCTTAGAATCCTGGGAACAGTTTGGCTTTGGGAATCCCCTATCAAAGTTTCCGGTTCCCAGTGGATCAGGGGCCACACTTAAAACTGCTGTGCTAGAAAACATGTCACCAACTTTGGGGACCTCCAGTCTTAGCTCTCACCTGCCTCTGCCCTGCGCAGGGCCACGCCCGGGAAACTGGGGCCCCCAGCTCTGTGTGAATGATGGCTGGATGGCTGCACTTTATTACTGTTATCTGGACTGATTTATCAGCTGCTGTGAGAAGGAAGCTCAGGGGTGCCAACACACCTGCGTGGGCCCTGCATTCCTGGGGGTGTCGTCACATCCGTCCCCCCCCTTGGGTGTGGCAGCCCTCTCTACTTTGGACTTTCTAGAAGGGAGGGCCAGGCCAGAGCTTCCTGGATCTTCCAGGCAGATCTGCTGTGAGCCTGTGTCACCCTGAGCCTGGGTTGTGTAAGGAAGGAATGTGGGAAATGGTTTGGGTTTGATAAAGGTGTTGTGGAGGAGGGGAGCCTCTCCTTCCTGGAGCTATTTCGGCTGGTCACGGTGTTTGTTCACCAGGCCTGGATTTCAGCTTTTCCTGAGAAGCCTGGAGACTTGAGAAGCAGGGAGGATTAAATTGCTACTCCTGCTCTTCAGCTCAGAGGCTGATCCTAACCTCATTTCTCTCCCTCCTCCTTCCCCATCCCCAGATCCTCAAGCCAGAGTTAATCAAGGCCTACATGGAGAAGGAAAAGCTGGTAGAATTAGTACTCAGTTGACAGATAAGAACGGTGACTATCTGACCTGACTCCGCAAATGACAGGCTCCTCAGATCCTTTGTCTGAGGCAGCTTACTGGAGTATGACACCCACACAAGGGGTGTAGGCTCATCTTCAATCTGTGAGAGGAGTTGGGAAGAGTTGTACACTTTCCTTAAGTTCTAAACACTCAGCTGGGTATGGTGTCTCAGTACCTGTAATCCCAGCACTCAAAGACTAATGCAGGTGTATTGCCTAAAATTCAAGGCCAGTCTAATCTACAGAGTGAGACTTTGTCTCAAATAATAAGGGCTGGCAAGATGGCTCCTCAAGTATAACTACTTGTGGTCAAGTCTGACAACCTGAGTTTGATCCCTAGAACTCAAATAGCAGAAGGAGAGAACCGGCTCCCTCAAGTTGTCCTTTGACCTCCACACACCCTGAAGCATTTGTACCCACACACATACACACCCACAAAATCAATGTAAAAAAAAGTTATAAACAAAACAAAAAGCAAGCTGAAGATGGCTTAAAGCCCTTGCTGCGGAAGCCCAAGACCTGAGCTCCATTCCCTGAACTTGTAACAAAAGAAAAAAGGCTGGATATGATGTTGATGTACTTGTAATCCCAGCACTGGGAGACAGAGACAGGTGGATCTCTGAGGCTTACTGACCCACCAGCCTATTTGGCAAGTTTCAAGCTAGTGAGAGACCCTGTCTCCAAAAACAAGGCAGACAGCATTCAAGAAAGGGTACTAGAGGCTGTCCTGTGGCACAGGCACACACACACACACACACACACACACACACACACACATGCTTGCATACCCACACACCAGCACCCACACAAAACAAAGTTCTACAAACACTGTTAAGTTCTTTTGCCATCTAGCTTGTGAGGCAGAAGAAGTTTGTAAATTTCCACAATTTGTTGTGTTTATAAAATTCACATTTTACATAATAATCTTTCTTTCCTTCTTCCTCCAACTCTTAGAGGAAGAAAAATAAAAGTAAAAAACCAAGAGGTGGCACAAATTCATATACAAAGCCAGTAAAATTTCTTCAAGGAATGTCTCCTGCCACCTCTGTTTCTCCTTGATTGCTCAAGTTCCAGTCTTGATGAGGCTGGTTAATAATTCTTTGAAAAAGAGCTGAAGTGTGTATTTGTGAATCTCAGGCTACTCACCGAAGCATTTTAAGCCCTTTAGCCGAGGTGGAATTCAGTCACATGATCTGTTTTCTGGTTAATAGCTTATAATGCTTTACTGGTTTGCTGGGCGGTTGGGAGGGGGCTCATGGCTAGAGAATCAATCAACTCATTATTTCTCATAGCCTTAAGAAGCCAGTCACCCCTTTAGGTAAGAAACCCACTTTCAAAGGAGACAGGCTGGGCCCTTGGTTTGGACTTGACCTCGATTTGCTTTCTTACCTTTCCCCTCTCTGGGACCCAGTTTCTCCATCTGTAAAGTCAGGCCAGGGATGAAGTCATCTCTTCTAACCCTCCCAGCTCTCAACACTCTATGGCTCCCTAGAGATGGTGGAGAGCGATCGTTATTTCAATATTACAAGGGTGGACTGGGCTAGAAAGAGTAATCTTTTCATTGGTGTCCACAGCCAGGCTGCAGTCAAGGGCCAAAGCACTCCCCAGAAAGACCTGATGAAGAAGATGAGTGTGTTAATATTTATAAGAAATGTAACTTGTACCAGGACTGAGGCTAAGTGTTTTTCCATGGATTAACTAATTTCATCTTAAATTGCATAAAAGATGATTGTGTCTCCAGGCAGTTACTGGAGGGTCCTATTTATTTTCTAGGCTGAGAGATGTCTGTCGAAGTCCTCAGTGTACTCCTTGTTGGCCAGATGACCTTGACCCTGCTCCCTTAAACTCTCAGAGCTCTGGTCTCTTCTGGGAAAGGGGACAGTGATGATGCAGATTCTGTCTGGTTGTCACAGCGATGAGATGAACAATGTAAGACTGC